GTACTGTTTAGTTACCACCCCTAGCATGTACAAAAGTTTTTCCCCAAAATCAGGTATGTTACACATTTTTACTGGGTTTACTATTAGCATTATAAATAACATCACAGGGTTTAAAGGTACTGAGAGGATGTGTAACCAGAAACAAACAGGGATTTTACATGTACTGCCTCTGCCATGGACAGTGTCCAAGACTGCAGCAGTAAGTTAAGGAGGAGAGTGTGATGTTGCATTCCATATGTTTTATGGAAATATGCTAATGAGTGTGACTATAATGTGAATATAATGTGAATATAATGATCCATTTGTGGGGTCTATCCCTAAACAGACAAGACAACTGGAAATTATGCAAAGTGTGGGCTATTAATGTGTATGTGTGGGCCAGCTCATGGGTAATGAAGAATAAGGTCTTTCAGTGATATGTGACCATGTCACCTGATAGTGGAATCAATCTTAATTGAACTGATGGGCAAGATCCCCTGGGAGAATAACATGAGCGGGAAAGGAGTCCAGGAGAGCTGGCTGTATTTTAAAGAATCCTTATTGAGGTTACAGGGACAAACCATCCCGATGTGTAGAAAGAATTGTAAATATGGCAGGCGACCAGCTTGGCTTAACAGGGAAATCCTTGCTGATCTTAAATACAAAAAAGAAGCTTACAAGAAGTGGAAGATTGGACAAATGACCAGGGAGGAATATAAAAATATTGCTCGGGCATGTAGGAGTGAAATCAAGAAGGCCAAATCACACCTAGAGTTGCAGCTAGCAAGAGATGTTAAAGAGTAACAAGAAGGGTTTCTTCAGGTATGTTAGCAACAAGAAGAAAGTCAAGGAAAGTGTGGGCCCCTTACTGAAAGAGGGAGGCAACCTAGTGACAGAGGATGTGGAACAAGCTAATGTACTCAATGCTTTTTTTGCCTCTGTCTTCACGAATAAGGTCAGCTCCCAGACTACTACACTGGGCAGCACAGCATGGGGAGTAGGTGACCAGCCCCCTGTGGAGAAAGAAGTGGTTCGGGACTATTTAGAAAAGCTGGACGTGAACAAGTCCATGGGGCTGGATGCATTGCATCCGAGAGTGCTAAAGGAGTTGGAGGATGTGATTGCAGAGCCATTGGCCATTATCTTTGAAAATTCATGGCGATCAGAGGAGGTCCCGGACGACTGGAAAAAGGCTAATGTAGTGCCCATCTTTAAAAAAGGGAAGAAGGAGGATCCTGGGAACTACAGGCCAGTCAGCCTCACCTCAGTCCCTGGAAAAATCATGGAGCAGGTCCTCAAGGGATCAATTCTGAAGCACTTAGAGGAGAGGAAAGTGATCAGGAACAGTCAGCATGGATTCACCAAGGGCAAGTCATGCCTGACTAATCTAATTGCCTTCTATGACGAGATAACTGGTTCTGTGGATGAAGGGAAAGCACTGGACATGTTGTTCCTTGATTTTAGCAAAGCTTTTGACACAGTCTCCCACAGTATTCTTGCCAGCAAGTTAAAGAAGTATGGGCTAGATGAATGGACTATAAGGTGGATAGAAAGCTGGCTAGATTGTCGGGCTCAATGGGTAGTGATCAATGGCTCCATGTCCAGTTGGCAGCCTTTATCAAGTGGAGTGCCCCAAGGGTCGGTCCTGGGGCCGGTTTTGTTCAATATCTTCATAAATGATCTGGAGGATGGTGTGGATTGTACCCTCAGCAAGTTTGCTGATGACACTAAACTGGGAGGAGAGATAGTTGGTAGGGATAGGATACAGAGGGACCTAGACAAATTGGAGGATTGGGCCAAAAGAAATCTGATGAGGTTCAACAAGGACAAGTGCAGAGTTCTGCATTTAGGACAGAAGAATCCAATGCACCGCTACAGACTAGGGACCGAATGGCTAGGCAGCAGTTCTGCAGAAAAGGACCTAGGGGTTACAGTGGACGAGAAGCTGGATATGAGTCAACAGTGTGCCATTGTTGCCAAGAACACATTTTGGGCTGTATAAGTAGGGGCATTGCCAGCAGATCGAGGGACGTAATCGTTCCCCTCTATTTGACACTGGTGAGGCCTCATCTGGAGTACTGTGTCCAGTTTTGGGCCCCACACTACAAGAAGGATGTGGAAAAATTGGAAAGAGTCCAGCGGAGGGCAACAAAAATATTAGGGGACTGGAACACATGACTTATGAGGAGAGGCTGAGGGAACTGGGGATGTTTAGTCTATGAAGAGAAGAAGGAGGGGGGATTTGATAGCTGCTTTCAATTATCTGAAAGGGGGTTCCAAAGAGGATGGCTCTAGACTGTTCTCAGTGGTAGCAGATGACAGAACAAGGAGTAACGGTCTCAAGTTGCAGTGGGGGAGATTTAGGTTGGATATTAGGAAAAACTTTTTCACTAGGAGGGTGGTGAAACACTGGAATGCGTTACCTAGGGAGATGGTGGAATCTCCTTCCTTAGAAGTTTTTAAGGTCAGGCTTGACAAAGCCTTGGCTGGGATGATTTAATTGGGGATCGGTCCTGCTTTGAGCAGGGGGTTGGACTAGATGACCTCCTGAGGTCCCTCCAACCCTGATATTCTATGATTCTATGATTTTTAATGGTGTTTTTCCATTTAGAAGGAGGGGTGGGAACACAGAGAGAGACAAAGGATTCCCGCCTTGTACCAAAGCTGTAAAAAGGGGTGGAACAGAACAAAGGGGGCTGCCAGTCATGAGAAATCTTCTAATTACCTGAGCTGGAACTAACAAGGACTGTACCAGGGGAAAGGATTGGGTCCAGACCAGGAAGAAGTTTAGTTTGTGAAAGAAGCTTATTGGAACATCTCTAAGCCCTGGTCTACACTAGGAGTTGAGGTCGAATTTAGCAGTGTTATATCGATTTAACCCTGCACCCATCCACACGACGAAGCCCTTTTTTTGACTTAAAGGGCTCTTAAAATTGATTTCCTTACTCCACCCCCGACAAAGGGATTAGCACTGAAATCGGCCTTGCCAGGTCGAATTTGGGGTACTGTGGACGCAATTCAATGGTATTGGCCTCCGGGAGCTATCTCAGAGTGCTCCATTGTGACCGCTCTGGACAGCACTCTCAACTCAGATGCACTGGCCAGGTAGACAGGAAAAGGCCTGCGAACTTTTGAATCTCATTTCCTGTTTGGCCAGTGTGGCAAGCTGCAGGTGAGTGCAGAGCTCATCAGCAGAGGTGACCATGCAGAGCTCATCAGCAGAGGTGACCATGATGGAGTCCCAGAATTGCAAAAGAACTCCAGCATGGACTGAACGGGAGGTACGTCTGATTGCTGTATGGGGAGAGGAATCCATGCTATCAGAACTCCATTCCAGTTTTCAAAATGCCAAAACATTTGTCAAAATCTCCCAGGGCATGAAGAACAGAGGCCATAACAGGGACCCGAAGCAGTGCCGCGTGAAACTTAAGGAGCTGAGGCAAGCCTACCAGAAAACCAGAGAGGCAAACAGCCGCTCCGGATCAGAGCCCCAAACATGCCGCATTTCAGGGGGTTCAGCCACCACTACCTCAACTGTGTTGTTTGACTCCCTTAATGGAGATAGAGGCAACACGGAAGCAGCTTTTGGGGACGAGGAAGACGATGATGATGAGGTTGTAGCTAGCTCACAGCAAGCAAGTGGAGAAACTGGTTTTCCCCACAGCCAGGAACTGTTTCTCACCCTGGACCTGGAGCCAATACCCCCCGAGCCCACCCAAGGCTGCCTCCTGGACCCGCCAGGCGGAGAAGGGACCTCTGTGAGTGTACCTTTTAAAATACTATAAATGATTTAAAAGCAAGCATGTTTAATGATTAATTTGCCCTGGCATTCGCAGCTCTCTTGGATGTACTCCCAAAGCCTTTGCAAAACATTTCTGTGGAGTGCAGCCTTATTCTGTCCACTATGGTAGGACACTTTACCACTCCAGACCAGTAGCATGTAGTCAGGAATCATTGTAGAACAAAGCATTGCAGTGTATGTTTGCTGGCGTTCAAGCAACATCTGTTCTTTATCTCTCTGTGTTATCCTCAGGAGAGTGATATCATTCATGGTCACCTGGTTGAAATAGGGTGCTTTTCTTAAGGGGACATTCAGAGGTGCCCGTTCCTGCTGGGCTGTTTACCTGTGGCTGAAGAGAAATGTTCCCCTCTGTTAGCCACGGGGAGGGGGGGAAGGAGGAGGGTCTAGCCACCCGGTGGGGGGAGGCAAAATGCGACCTTGGAATGAAAGCACATGTGCTATGTATGTAATGTTAACAGCAAGGTTTACTGTGAAAGAGTGTACCCATTGTTCTATAAAATGTGTCTTTTTAAATACCACTGTTCCTTTTTTTCTGTCCACCAGCTGCATATGTTTCAAGGATCACAGGATCGTCTCCTTCCCAGAGGCTGGGTGAAGATTAGAAGGCGAAAAAACCGCACTCGCAATGAAATGTTTTCTGAGCTCATGCTGTCCTCCCACACTGACAGAGCACAGACGAATGCGTGGAGGCAGACAATGTCAGAGTGCAGGAAAGCACAAAATGACCAGGAGGAGAGGTGGTAGGCTGAAGAGAGGGCTGAAGCTCAAAGGTGGTGGCAGCGTGATGAGAGGAGGCAGGATTCAATGCTGAGGTTTCTGGAGGATCAAACTAATATGCTCCAGTGTATGGTTGAGCTGCAGGAAAGGCAGCAGGAGCACAGACCGTCGCTACAGCCCCTGTGTAACCAACCGCCCTCCTCCCCAAGTTCCATAGCCTCCTCACCCAGATGCCCAAGAACGCGGTGGAGGGGCTTCCAGCCACTCAGCCACTCCACCCCAGAGGCCCAAGCAACAGAAGGCTGGCATTCAATAAGTTTTAAAGTTTTAAACTTTTAAAGTGCTGTGTGATCTTCTCCTTCCCTCCTCCACCACCCGTCCCAGTGCTTCCCTCCTCCTCCACCCCTTCCGGGCTACCTTGGCAGTTATCCCTCTATTTGTGTGATGAATTAATAAAGAATTCATGAATGTGAAGCAACAATGACTTTATTGCCTCTGCAAGTGGTGATTGAAGGGAGGAGAGGAGGGTGGTTAGCTTACAGGGAAGTAGAGTGAACCAAGGGGTGGGAGGTTCATCAAGGAGAAACAAACAGAACTTTCACACCGTAGCCAGGCCAGTCATGAAACTGGTTTTCAAAGCTTCTCTGATGTGCATCGCGCCCTCCCGTGCTCTTCTAACTGCCCTGGTGTCTGGCTGCATGTAACCAGCAGCCAGGCGATTTGCCTAAACCTCTCACCCTGCCATTAATGTCTCCCCCTTACTCTCACAGATATTGTGGAGCGCACAGCAAGCAGTAATAACAGTGGGAATATTGGTTTCGCTGAGGTCTAACTGAGTTAGTAAACTGCGCCAGCGCGCTTTTAAATGTCCAAATGCACATTCTACCACCATTCTGCACTTGCTCAGCCTGTAGTTGAACAGCTCCTGACTACTGTCCACGCTGCCTGTGTATGGCTTCATGAGCCATGGCATTAAGGGGTAGGCTGGGTCCCCAAGGATAACATAGGCATTTCAACATCCCCAATGGTTATTTTCTGGTCTGGAAATAAAGTCCCTTCCTGCAGCTTTTAAAACAGACCAGAGTTCCTGAAGATGCAAGTGACATGTACCTTTCCCAGCCATCCCACGTTGATGTTGGTGAAACATCCCTTGTGATGCACCAGTGCTTGCAGCACTATTGAAAAGTACCCCTTGCTGTTTATGTACTCGCCGGCTTGGTGCTCCAGTGCCAAGATAGGGATATGGGTTCCATCTATGGCCCCACCACAGTTAGGGAATCCCATTGCAGCAAAGCCATCCACTATGACCTGCACATTTCCCAGGGTCACTACCCTTGATAGCAGCAGATCTTTGATTGCACTGGCTACTTGCATCACAGCAGCCCCCACAGTAGATTTGCCCACTCCAAATTCATTCCCGTCTGACCGGTAGCTGTCTGGCGTTGCAAGCTTCCACAGGGCTATTGCCACTTGCTTCTCAACTGTGAGGGCTGCTCTCATCTTGGTATTCTTGCACCTCAGGGCAGGGGAAAGCAAGTCACAAAGTTCCATGAAAGTGCCCTTACACATGCAAAAGTTTCGCAGCCACTGGGAATTGTCCCAGACCTGCAACACTACGCGGTCCCACCAGTCTGTGCTTGTTTCCCGGGCCCAGAATCTGCATTCCACCGCATGAACCTGCCCCATTAGCACCATGATGCCTACATTGCCAGGGCCCGTGCTTTGAGAGAAGTCTGTATCCATGTCCTCATCACTCTCGTCACCACGCTGACGTCGCCTACTCGCCCGGTTTTGCTTTGCCAGGTTCTGGTGCTGCTGGATAATGCGCGTGGTGTTTAATGTGTTCCTAATTGCCAAAGTGATCTGAGCGGGCTCCATGCTTGCCATGATATGGAGTCTGCACAGAAAAAAGGCGTGGAACGATTGTCTGCCGTTGCTCTGACGGAGGGACAGGCAACTGACGACATGGCTTACAGGGTTGGCTTATAGGAAATTAAAATCAACAAAGGGGGTGGCTTTTACATCAAAGAGAAACAAAAGCAACTGTCACATAGAATTGCCCACTCAAGGATTGAACTCAAAACCCTGGGTTTAGCAGGCCAATGCTCAACCCAATGTTCAACCCACTGAGCTATCTCTCCCCCCCACACCCTGGTATTTCAGGCAGGACTGAATCTCCATTAAACTTTTCAAGGTGCCCCTGACAGACCTCACTGAAACGATTGTTGGCCGTTGATTTCACAGAGGGAGGGAGTGGGGAGCAAATGAATACAAAACAAATCTGGTCTATTTCTTGTTTTGTTCCACTCCATCTATCTTTTACATCTATGGCTGGCAGCAGACGGTGCGGTAGGACTGCTAGCCAACCACATCTCCTGGCTGCTTGGCAGAAGATGGTACAATAGGACTGCCGGCAGGACTAAAGAGAATGACCTGGTTGAGTCAATCCTAATTTAGTTCCTGCGCCCATGTCTTCCCAGGCGCTCCTGACCGACCTTACCGAGGCTGCCAGGAGCACCTCGGACACCATGACAATGGTTATCAGGCCTATTGCACCATCTGCTGCCACAGGCAATGGGTTGCTGCTGCTGTGTAGCAATGCAGTACCGTGTCTGCCAGCACCCAGGAGACATACAGTGACAGTGAGCTGAGCGGGCTCCATGCTTGCCGTGGTATGGCATCTGCACAGGTAACTCAGGAAAAAAGGCTCAAAATGATTGTCTGCCGTTGCTTTCACGGAGGGCCTGATGACATATACCCAGAACCACCCACAACAATGTATTTTGCCCCATCAGGCGTTGGGATCTCAACCCAGAATTCCAATGGACAGCGGAGACTCCGGGAACTGTGGGATAGCTACCCACAGTGCAACACTCTGGAAGTTGACGCTAGCCTCGGTACTGTGGAAGCACTCTGCCAAGTTAATGCACTTAATGCACTTAGAGCATTTTGTGTGGGGACATACACAATCGACTATATAAAAACGATTTCTAAAAAAACAACTTCTATAAATTCGACCTAATTTCGTAGTGTAGACATAAGGGTGAGATTTACCTGTATTCAGTTTCTTAATGTATTAGGCTTAGACTGGCATGTTTTGTTTTATTTTGCTTGGTAACTTACTTTGTTCTGTCTGTTATTACGTGAAACCACTTAAGTCTTACTTTTTATACTTAATAAAATCACTTTTGTTTATTCATTAATCCAGAGTAAATGATTAATACCTGGGGGAGCAAACAGCTGTGCATATCTCTCTATCAGGGTTACAGAGGGCGGACAATTTATGAGTTTACCCTTTATAAGCTTTATACAGAGTAAAATGGATTTTGGGGGGGTTGGATCCCGTTGGGAGCTGGGTGTCTGGCTGCTGGAGACAGGACTACTTGCTGAGCTGTTTTCAGTTAAGTTTGCAGCTTTGGGAGCATGGTTCAGATCCTGGGTCTGGTTTGCAGCAGGCGAATGTGCCTGGCTTAACAAGCCAGGGTTCTGAAGTCCCAAGCTGGCAAAGAAAATGGGCTCAGCACATCGGGGGACAGTCCCAACGGGGTCTCTGTGACCAAACCCATCACAGTCTGGTCAATGCATAGTAAAACCAAGTTAAAACTATGCAGTCACAGTAGTCACCATGTAGGAAATAACATCATAAACCCAATTCTGCTTCAACTGAAATCAACGATAAAAACTCGTATTGCCATCAGCAGAAGCAAGCCTGAAGCATTTGCACACTTAGTAAAATGCTTGTTAGCTTCCCTCATCCAAAAGTTCACAAGGTAAGTTAGGGCCCTGCAGCAGTGAGGTAGCTAAAATTCACACTGATTTAAATATGAATTACACATGTGTAATGGCTGTACTATCAGCAACTGCATTTGGCTTCTACGCTCCCTTTAGCTACCGCAGGCAGGGGAGAGCCAAAGTTAAAAGAACCAGGACTCTCGGTGTGAAGAGGGATGGAGGAGGAACAATGCAGCATGCTCTGTCCTCCTGATCCCACCAAAAATGGGAATATGACATGGCATCATCCTCCTGCACGCCAGCATTATCTTACATCAGCATTATCTTACATACTGTCCCCTTCCACAGACTGAAACCTGCCAAACAATACCATGACCTGCATTGTTCCTTAGGGAACCATACTATCAGGGGAAAGGAGCAACACAGTGGCACTGGGGCCTGTGTGTAAATTTCTCAGCCCTCTACAAATGCCCACAGATCTGTAGTTAAATCCCACGGATCTTAGTACATCTACATGTTCCAAAAGACAACCTGCCTGCCTGCTCCATGCCCTGGCCATCCACTCTGAGAAGATAATTTGGAGGTACAGTAAATATGGAGTTTCTCGTAGATTTTTCCCCTGAAGAAGATAATATGGACTTTTGTTGGCACAGTTACCAAAATGAACATAAAACAGTTCCATTCTACCAACTTCATTAGAGGCCATGAATGCAATAAAAGGGTTGAAAAGTCACCTTCTTCTCAGCATTTAGACACTACTTTTTATTGCTAAAAGTTCAATTACAGTTCTATACATTTTAAATACACTGGAGTTTTATGGCCTAGATATGTCTGCTTTTATGAATCATCCTCCGAACTTTCAGTTATTTGAGTCTAGTAAAGAAAATTAAATTATTTGGTACTAAAATATTTTGTTAAAAGAAAAACAACATAAAATGAATTAATTCCAGACCACACTTAAAAATTTTCACTCTGGAGGAAGAAACATGTAAACTAATGAAAACTTGAAGTGACAGGTAATGAAATGAAATGGGCCTGGGTTCTGAATGCTAAGGTAACCCTAGGCAATAAAACTGTCAGAATAGCAAACATATAGAGGAATGGGGAATGAAGCAGAAAGTTCCCACACGTTCTAGACATTACTTCTCCCTCCACCCCCTATTTCCCACAAGACACACAGGAAGATTTCAAACCCTAATACATACAACATTTCCCCCCTAACACACACACACACTTGAACTTTGTTGTAATTTTCAAATCATGCCATGTATTCTGCTCCCAAATTGGATCTAGAAGGTTGTGCAGCTTATCCATAATGTTGTTGTCAGAATCATTTATGGAATGTATATTTCATCTTCAGGGTTTATGTCTTGAAACGCAGTTTATTATTCTGGGCTTATAGCAATGTTCAGTGCCTTGGATTCTGAAGCTGCTGACAGTTCATTTTCATTTCTCAGTCTTTGCATTTCCATGTTTAAATCCAGTAAAGTTTTGGCAAGGTGACATTTCTGAGAGCGAATCTCCAGCTAGAAACACAAAAGAGGAGAAGATTTTTATGAGTAGAAGATAACCATCAAACTAAATTGCTACATGACTCTTGATAGGACAGATAGATAAATGTGGGTGGAAAGATAAAATGTTAGGAAAATATTCTCATCCTGTTTTTAAGTGATATGCTCTTCTTACTGGCTATTAGATAGCGAAAAAATCCTGTATTAGAGAAAGCAGCAAAGAGTTCTGTGGCACCTTATAGACTAACAGATGTATTGGAGCATAAGCTTTCGTGGGTGAATACGCACTTCGTCGGATGCATGTGACGGAGGCATGTATTAGAGAAGTGGACTTGTCTAGTGGATACTTATAAACAGGCTTCCTAAATAGATAGGAAAAGAAAGGAAAAATAGTTTATGCTCAAGAAAACAATATGATGTGGTGAAATATATAAGCTGAAACATACAACAGGGTGCAAATTTATTAGTTAATATGGGGCTCAATCCTGAAAGATGCTAAGCACTGTGGTCCCAATTCAGTAAAACCCTGAAGCACATGTTTAACTTTAAGCATGTGAGTAGTCCCATTGGGATTTAACTTTAAACATGTATTTTAAGTGGTTTGTTGGATCAGAATCACAGAGCTCAGCACCTTGCAAGATTGAGTCCTACATACACACCTTAGATGTGCTGAGGTACTGCCTAATTCAGCACACTGGATCACTGTAAATCAGGAAGATGGTTGCAAGAAGAGAAAGGAAGTTCTCCTGTTTTGACCAATGCATTGGGACCCAGGAGAGATAGGTTATCTTCGTGGCTCAGCCACCGACTTCCTCTGTAAAGTTGGGAGAGATTGTAGTCATGTCTATACCATGGACGCCACAGAAACACAGTTACAGCACCATAGCTATGCCACTGTAACTCCATAGCAGCCTAGAAAAATGAAAGGGGTTTTTCCATTGCTGTAGGGACTCCACTGCCCTGAGCAACACTAGCTAGCAGCGTGTTCCCCAAGGGTTGGGTTGGTATAACTGTGGCACTCACAGGCGCGGATTTTCCCTGAGCGCTGTAGCTATGTCAAACTACATTTTAAGTGTAGACCAGACCAAACGTAATATATATGCACATGGCAGCTGAACCATAGTTGAACACGTAGCCATAATAATGGCTTTTCCTAACCTTTGAGTGCTTTACTTTGCAATCTTAACATTTCAAGGGGTTTTTTGTATGTATTATTCATCATAATGTCTATATCCACAAATTATCCAGTCTAAAGAATTGAAAGACAATCTTAGTTTTGTTTTAGCAATATCATTAATTCTATAACTGAAATTAATAAGCTGTAAATGTCGATTACATTCACTATTTTAAAAAATTAATATATACAGAACGTCAATACTGTCTTGAGTATTTGAGCTTTGCTGAAGAGAAGATTGGATATTATGTAATTTTGAAACAAAGATCTCGCCTGACTCTCATGTTTTTCTTTATTAATGCCACCACAGCATAAAGTGCTACATTAATATGCTGAATATTATTAATGCTTAACAATAGTGAATTGAATATTTTAATAAAACTATAGTTTGAATAAGTGCTTCAACATCTGTAAAATATGAAACCCTCTGAACAAGTTTTATTTTCCAAAATCTTATTAAAATGAAAAATGAGGGTGGAGATATACTACAGGGATAGTGTATGGAAAGGTGCTCAGTCATTCCCCACACTGTGCTCCCTAGCAAAAGTGGTTTTCAGTTTTCAGTGCTATCCGTCGTGCACTTTCCACGTTCACTAGTGTCTCTTAAATAGATGGACTGAGAAAAAAAATAAGACCAGGAGCTAAATAAAATGCCTAATGAAGATTGAGAGAGAATCACATTTATGACTATTAGTGATTTAGGAGACAATATTTTATGAGTCATAAGTTCTGCTTAACGCTTTTCAACTAGGTGCTGGGAGTCTAGATGGATGGAAAAGAAAATTGAGTCCACAAAAAAAAAGATGTAGGACATATACGCATATAGTGGTGTAGACATCAAGTATAAATTTTAACGGGGTATACTTTTTAAAACTTTATGTTAATGGATTTAATAAGAAGCTTTGAAGCAGCTTGATTTTGAGCCATAGAGTGAAATATTTTTTACCCAGTATCCCAGATGTGATGACGATGTCACAAATCCTTATTTTGTTTCCGAAAGCTTGCCTGTCTAGAGGAAGTGTAAGTGTGAGATGTCTGAATGGGCATCATTTTGTAGTTTTGTAAATCAAAGAACAATGGGTCATAAGAATGACCAGGAAGACAACATAACCCAATAGTTAAGAGGCCACTGAAGAGTCTCAGTTGTTCACCTAAATACAAGGAGATCACACTGATAAAGTCATAATCTCCTGTTATTCCCTCAGTGTTGCTTATCTGCGGGGGGGGGGGGGGGGGGGGACACTCACAGACATGATTAAGAAACAGTAATCTAAAAGGAGAATCCCAAAAGTGGACCAAGAGTCAGACTGACAATGCCTACTCAGGATTGGACAATGCAGTTGGGGTGAGAAACCTGTGATTCCCCAAACTGGATCAGAAAGTCATAAGGCGAAGCCCAGTGGGATGATACCAGCCTGAGTTTCAGCCATAAAAGACCAGATAAATGAGGAAGAAGTGTGCTCCTTTCAAAGTCACCACAATGACAACTCAACAGCTGATATTCCGACTTCCCCTTCCAAGGAAAGTAGAGACAAAGACATCACAGACCAGCCTGCTGACCCAAGAATGATGCTTGTTAGCGAGGCAGTACCTGAGCCAGAAGACATTGCCTGGTTCCCCAAAGTGCAGTTCCTAACTGATTCTGAATATCTACATACAGCTAAAGAACAGATACTTTTTGTTTATATTATTTTTGTCTCTTTCAAAGGACATTTAAACACCAGTGAATGGACCCCTGCCAGGCAAGATGTGTCCCAACAATTTTAGAGTGGAGGTGTGTGCGTGCGTGGCCATTAATCGTAACAGCATGTGCATATATAAACCCATAGGATAAGTTACCATTAGGTACTGATTAACCTAGGTTCCAGGCAAATCTCATTACAAATTTCTAAGAGTCACTTGACATCCATAAAGATTTAAACTTTAACCTATTCTTTCTGCATTGGAAAGTATAAGCTGCTAAGTAAATTGCATAGGGGTAAAAAAAAATTAAATAAGTAATTTAATAAATCATTGGTGTTATGTTAACTTTGTAATTTGATTACTGATTATGCTCATGCAATAACTTGGCCAATTGTTGGTCTTATGCTGTTCTTTTGTAGTTAACCAATTTTAAGTTGTATGATTGTTACGGTGACCAGCTGTCCTGTTTTTAAAGGGACAGTCCCATTTTGGGGGACATTTTCTTATATAGGCGCCTATTACCCCACACCCGCTGCTCAGTTTTTTCACAGTTGCTATCTGGTCACCCTAATTATTGTTAATTCCTTGACTTGACAATTATTGTCATAGCAATATCAATTATCATGTTGTTTAATACTTTAGGGAAATATAAGAAATAATCTCATTTTGTGCTCTAGCATAAAAATTCTAATAACACACCAAATTGGTTTTCTCTGATCAACCGGAGACAAGGCAAAAACAACCCTAAATTAAAGGGATTTTAATTAAATATTCCAACAGCATTAGACTCAAGTCCAAAGAAAACCCTTTTTATCATTACAAAGCGTTCCTTCAGAATGGTGGGGGACCCTGAAGGACTGTCTGATCAGGAGGGAGCTATAATGAATGATGTGCAGTAAGACATATCTTCCTTCTACACATACTACAAGCGTCGTTCGCTTGAGCTGTGACTCCAGCTTTACCCCTAACCCGACTCCGTCCATACACAAAAATCTCTAGCGGGAGTGAAGCTGTAAGCCCGAGCTAGCAGGCGCGGGTGGACGCTGGCTGCTGCCCACCCGGCAGAAGGTAAAGCAGCGAGGATGCAACAAGTGCCCAGCTGCGAAGCCAGTCGCTGCGTGCGGCTCCCCTGCTGGTTCACCGCGGGGGCGCTCCCACGCCAGCTAGCCTAGCTCCGGGGGCGCACTCCGTGTTGCAGTGAAGCCAAGGCCCAGAGGCCGGAAAGTCTCTGGGTACACCGGCATTAGGCAGCGCTGCCCCGCGCTGTGAGTCTCCCCATCGGCAGGCCGCCCGCTGTCCCAGCAGTTACGCACGGTGCCGTGTGCTCTGTTATCAGTGCCCCATACACAGCGTGCCCACCCTACGGGGCCCCTCCGCTATCCGTCCTGCCGAGCAGCGCCCACTCGCACAGGGCATGTGCATTGCATGGAGCCCGCCCCCACCCCCAGCCTCACCTGCTGCAGCGCCCCGGGCCCCCCCCCCTCACACAGCGCTGCCTTGGGTGGCCCAGTCCCCTGCCACGCCCGGCCCACGGGCGCTCCCTCCTTCCCCGCGGGCTCTCACCAGCTCTGTGCGCGGAGCCAGGCCCTGCCCTGGGGCCCCTCGCCCGAGCTTCCCGCCTCCTCCCCGCGGCTGCCTTTGTCCCCCAGCCCTGGAGCTGGGACCGTGCAGGCGCCCACGTGTGGCCGGGAACATCCCCGCCACGATCCATCTCCCCCTTCCACACCAAGGAGACGCCGGCCGGGGGGGGGTGTGTGGACGGGCATCTCCCCTGAGGGAGACACTCGGTCGGGGGGGGGGAAGGGGGCGCTCAGGCTGATGGCACCACTCGAAGGGGCGGACACGGTACGTGCCTCCCTGCGGCGCACCCAGCTACCTTCCTTCCCTGCGAGAGGGCGCTGCATTCACTCCTGACTTACCGCTGGCTGGATGCAGGCTTCCCCGCCTTCCCACCCCCTCGGCGCCCTCCGCTGGGCGAGATTTAGGACAAGCAGGTGAACCGGGGATGCCCCTTGAAACCTCAGCAGCCATGGCGGCGAAAGATTTCAGATGGGAAGCTTGAAAACCACAGGGGCAGGGCGACCGGTTTTACACCGAAATCCTTCCCTTGCCTCTTTTCACAACGCAGGTTCACTAGAGCTGACAGGGCAAGAGTGTTTGTGGCGACTGCAGTGCGCTTAATTTCATGCTCAACTCTCCCTCTGCCGCAGCTGAGATCGCTATCAGCTAACCCCGCTCTATTCATAGGGAGGGTCATAAAATTGTTTTGAACGTTCTGATTGAAGGAAGCGAGCCCCTCCCTCGCGGAAGCCAAGTGTCTCCGCTGCTCAGTAAAGACAAGTGCTATTTTTTTCTTTCCTAGAGCCAGGCGTGTATGGAATGAAAGAGAACAGATTATTTGGAGAAATGGAACATACCTGCTTTGGTTTAACAACGAGGGGGGGAGAGGGAAGCAGGGGGGGGGGAAGCAGGATGCTTCATTCATAATATGAAGACAAAAATCATACCCAGTTGGTTTGCCTGATCTTGACCAGTGCTGCTGCTGGGTATAAATGAGGAAACGTTCATTTTTGTAGGTTTTTAAAGGTTTGAAAAATCAGATAGAAAACTAGATTACAACATGTGCTGGTAGTCAGAACAGGCAGTGTCTAAATTAAACATCAGCAATGTCCTGTCAGGAATGCGAGCACTCAAGGGCAGAAGATAAGAAAATTTGCAATAGTTTCTGTAATGCAGTTCATACATAGTGATAACAGATGTGAAGGTCAGTTGCCCAGTGGTACCAGAAAGTAATGATTAAATTGCAATATATTTCTTATGGAATAGGAAAAGCATCAGAGACAATAAATGTTGCAAATGCAGCAACAACAGTTTCATGTGAAGAATGTGAATATTCATGGTCTGAAGATAGGAAAAGTACAGTAGTTTTTATTACACAGTTTATATTTTCATCTTGAATTTCCAATAGATTCGGAGCTCAGATGCATCACGGTACAAGAATGGACTTGCGACTTTGCTATATAGGATGTTTTTTTCTTTGTGTTTATTGTATCTATACAGCATGACTGACAGTAACTGTACGAGCTATACCAACAGCAGAAATGCACAATGGAGATATTATTCTGCATTTCAATGGCAATGTTGGACCACTGCAAACTAGTTACCTCTGCATCCCAGTGGCAAGTAAGGGCTTGATCCTGTCCTCAACAGCATGCAGATATGTACAGTATCACAGTGTAGTGTGTAAGATAGGTACACATGAGTGCTAAAAATTCTCTGGAACAATTTTAATATACGGTACATTGGACTTTGCAGAATAAAGAACTTGTTGGAGAGAAGAGATGCCAAATGCAGCCCATCAGCATTGGCAGTCTGACTCTAATGCCACAGCTGAATTTAGTCAGAAGTTTTTAGCAGTGAAAGTACTGTTGTATTTATTGTGTTCAAAAATACTTGCCAATTCAGCAATTTTTTAAAGAATACTTAATAGAGCAGGCAACTGGGCACCAAGCATTGCTGGGCCCTATGCCCAGCTCTTGCAGGGACTTGTTTAGCAATTACTTAACCGGTTTGTGGCTCTTTGGTTTTGGGGGGGGGGGGGGATTTGTTTGTTTGTTTGTTTGTTTGTTTGTTTTAGAAAACAGGATATGAATATTAAGTACTTTATAGGGGTAATAGAAGGTTTATTTCACTGTAGCATTGCCTAGTGGATAGGACACTGGACCAGGACATCTTGGTTCTATTCTCAGTTCTGCTGCTGACTTATTGTGTGACCTTGGGCAAGTCACATCATCTCTCTGTTTCCTCTCTCATCCTTTCATAGATTCTAAGATCAGAAGAGGCCATTGTGATCATCTAGTCTGATCTCCTGTGAAACACAGGCCGCAGAACTCTAAATTTTTTTTTAATTAGCGCATATTGTTACCAAAAAAATCCAATCTTGGTTAAAAATTGCCAGAGATAGAGAATCCACCACAACCCTTTGTCTGCCTTGTCTATGTTGATTGTGAACTCTCCAGGACTGGACTATCTCTCACTATATATTTGTGCGGAGCCCAGTCTCAATCCATACCTCTAGGTGCTACTATAACATAAATAATAATTGTAAGGTACTTTGAGATCCTCAGATGGAAGATGCTACCAATGGGCCTGATTCATCCACTATTACTCCATGAATAGTCCCACTGGTATAAGTACAAAGCCAAATAAAAAGAGAAAGTATTCTTGCCCAAACATGGCTTTGTGCAGAAATTCATTTCTAAATATAGTTTAAGTTACTAGAAACAGAACACCCCACAATCTATACATTTTTCTCTCAGTAATAGAGTTAATGTGCTTGTGGAATGGACAATAAAATGTTTGTCTTTATATTTTCTAACCTTGTTGCTAAGAGCTATATACCAGTAACAAACTCTTCACATAAACTTTAACATTTTTTTCTTAGCTAAAACCACAACAAGGCGGGGGGCGGGGGAGGGAGGGGGGGAAATCTGCTGACATAGATAAAAAATTTGAAAAAGCTCCTCTGGTGTGTGCCTTTTCAGTTTATAGCCTGGGAACATTATCACAGTTTCATTTCCACAACAAAAGGGCACCATTCTTTTCTTAAAGGTTTGACAGTTCATCTTGTCCTTGGTGTTTTGCATCATAAATGCATTTGTATTGTCAGTCTTTCTATTAGCACTCATCTATCTAGGGGTACCAAAGAAAAGGACAACTGTATGACAGGTTACTGTAGTTTCTTTTGTGTACTATCATCTGCAGACTTCAGTGGTTAAAAATGAAAGTAGCATTTTGTGCATATGGTAAATTTTAAAAATTGGATGAACTTTTCACATTTGAATGTTAGAAATTCACATTGCTTGTGCTCCACATAAGTTCTGATTATTGTTTATATTCTGAGTAGTGCCTAGAGGTCCAAGTCAGGATTGGAACCTAACTGTGCTTGTCACTGTACAAAGGTGGAATAAAAGTCAGTCCCTACATCACAGAGATTACAGCCTAAATGGAGAAGACAGAGGGTGTCTTTTGTCCACAGGTGGAAGGGAAATGGATGTGACATACAAGCAGAATGATTAGGGTGATGGGCTGGCAACATGTCCAGTACCACTTTATTTAGCGTCCCCTCCCCCCCTTTTTTTGTAATTATATATAGAGGTGGGCTCATTTTCAACTTTTTAGAAATGTACTGATTGTCCGTCTATGGTACATATCTTTAGAATACATAAGCAGAATGTGGTGTGTTAGAAATATGTTGAATGTGAGATTGTTGCAATAAAACTGGTTTAATGAGGAACTGGAGATCTCACAGCATGGAGTTTTTCAATTCTAGTTTGCCAAATAAAACCCAGAATAGGTTCACAATGAACAAAAGTTGTTACTATGTGGTGACTGTTAGGTGTCTTATGGGAAATGAGTTTGGCAGTTTTAATTCTGAGTTACTAATGGACAAGTTTCTACATCACAGAAACTATCACCAAAATTGGTACCCTGGCTGGCATGCTTAGCAGAGAGGCAAAGGACCGAAACTGAATTGTCTTCTGACCATTAGAGGAGTAGCTCGAGTTTAAGGATGAGATTATAGGCAAGACAATGTGGGAAAATTTTTACTATCGTTGACTGTGCTGTGCATGTTCTGAGGGTAAGAGAGGACTTCATTTTCCAAGGCTGTCAGTGTGGCACCTTTAACTAGTACTAATTCACACAACCTTTAAAAATGGCTTTGTCTTCCTGAAAAAGTAGTAGCAGCTTAGCTAAACTGGATTAGAAAGAGATATAGTTAAATCAGTGCAACCCACTTGTGTAGAAACTTTTATTTCAAGTCTGATGTCCATGACAAAGAAATTGAGGCAACAAGGAGTTTGTAGGTGAGTAAATGCCTCAGCATTTGATATCTGCAAAAACCATTTATTGTGAGAATGCCATTAACATTATTGCTATAAGATAAAACAAAGGAAGATTCTACCAAGCACTGCATAAAAAGGCCAAAGATAATACTTGTAATACTTTATTTTAGAAAAAATAATGCTGGCATATATTCATATTACATTATTTTCATGCTTCCAAATGGCTTCTGCAGGTGAGTGCTTCCAACACAGTCCATGTAGAGAATGGGACAAAACTAAACTTGACTTTTCTTCCTTTTCACAATACACCTATTTGGGGTCAGATAAGAGGATACCTGCCAGAAGGGACCAAGAACAACTGCAACAATATGATTTCTCCAGGGAGAATAGAGGGAAATCGGTGTTGACCCACAGGGAAACAGATTCAGTACAGCTAGCCTCCTCTTTCCCCTATAGGCACGCTCCATGCTTCCATCAGCATTTAATCGCTTGCGGTTGGTGTGAGGAGTCATTGTTAAGACAGCAGCAACTGCACTCGCCAGCACAACAGTAAAGGTTCCTGATGCTGGAGCTATGATGTGGGAAGGAACAATACCCCGGAATACTCCTTCCTCCCCACATAATGACAAGCCTGCAAGACAATGAAGAGTACAGTAAAAGGAAGGAGAGCAAGATGCAAATGCTGAAGCAGGAGGCATGTTCAGAGACGTTAAAGGGAGGGCTAGATTATATAAGGCCTTGAAAATGAGGATGGGAAGCTTAAAATCTCAAGTAAAATTCAAAAGCTGGTGAAGGGATTCACAGCAGGGGGAAGACATGATCAGAGTGGCAGAAGATGAAGAGGACTTCAGCAGCACCATTTTGGATAGTTTGGAGAGGGGAACGGCAGGGTTGCTGGAAAGCAGAAGGTTACGGTAACCAAGGCAAGAGATGACCAAGGTGTGAACACATTTCTTAGCAATGGAGATAGACAGAAAAGAGCATATTTTGATAATGTCATATAATGAGGTAAGGAGAACTTGGATGTGGAAGAAGAAGGAGAGTGTGAAATCAAAGTTGACACCAAGGTTGTACGACAGGGAGGGTGGTGGGGCTGTCAACTCAGAAACAGAAAGGAGGAAATGGGGAGGGATTATGAAGAAAGATGAGAAGCTCTATTCCAGAGAGATGGCAGGGGAAATGTCAGAGAGGCAGAGATGCAAGATAAGACAGGGGAGAGAGATTGTGGGTAGCTGAAATTGTATGGGAGGATGAGATAGCCTAAAAAGAGAAGATAAAGGGTTGAAAGATAGAGGACTCAGGACAAAAACCTGAGGGATACCAACTGATAGTGGAGAGAGAGAGGGAGAAGATCCACTGAAAGAGATGTCATAAAAATAAAGGGAAGGGTAAACCCCTTTAAATTCCTCCTGGCCAGAGGAAAAATCCTTTCACCTATAAAGGGTTAAGAAGCTAAGACAACCTCGCTG